AATTCCAAAGAACTTTCCCATGCTGTGTAAAATGACACAGAGCACTCTGATTGGTTACTTAATCCACCAATCAGGGTGCTCCGTGTCATTTTACACAGCGTGGGAAAATTCCAAAGAACTTTCTCACGCTGTGTAAAATGACACAGAGCACTCTGATTGGTGGATTTCAACCCAACCAATCCGAGTGCTGTGACAGGTAAATGTAGAGACTTACCTGTCAGTCTCTTCATTTACCTGTCAGAGCACTCTGATTGGATGGCTTAAACCCCCCAATCAGAGTGCTCTGAGCCTAACTGCAGGGCGGGGCAAGGTTTTATAAGCAGAGTCTGTGCGGAGCCCTCCATGGGTGAAGAAGGATTTTTTTTAAGTGCGTCGGTTATTCTGGATTTTTATTTGGCCTTTTTTGGGGCTGAAAAAATAAGATTTTAGAAGAAAGAAGACATCAAATGGTAAGTTTATTTTTACTTTTTTACAGGTATTTAGACAAGGGTCCCCCCTCATTATTTTTAGGATGAGGGGGGTAGGTAGGGGTAGTTTTTTGGGGGGAGGGGGTGACTAGGGGTTTGGGGACCTAATCACCTGGGGGGAATTTTTATTTATGGCCCCCACCCACCGCTCAGGGGTGGGGGCCGGGGGGCAGGACCTTAGGTCCCCCCCCCATTGTTATTTAAGGCCCCCACCCGCCGCGCAGGGGTGGGGGCCGGGGGGAGGACATAAGGTCCCCCCTTATTGTTATTTAGGGCCCCCACCCACTACTCAGGGTGGGGGACGGGGGGGACAATAGGCCCCCCCTTTAGTTTAACCCCTTAAGGACCAAACTTCTGGAATAAAAGGGAATCATGACATGTCTCACATGTCATGTGTCCTTAAGGGGTTAAAAGCCCCCACTCGCGCGTCGCTGGTGGGGGCTCAGGAGGGGGGAATGTTTTTTGGTGTTTTTTAACAGTGAGCAGCCACAGGCTGCTCACTGTTTAATAGACACGCCCCTACTCGCGGTATAGGCTGGGTCACTTGCTGCACTGGCCAATCACAGCCATGCCATTAGTAGACATTGCTGTGATGGCTTCTAAGGGCACACGCTTGTCAAACACTTGTTGATTGGCTGCCCTGCGGCCTTTCAAAACACGTCATTAAATCGACGAACTCCGAACTCCAACCCGAACATACAGTGATATGTCCGTGTTCGGGTCCGGGGTCCAAAAAGCCTAATGTTCGGTACGAACCCGAACTTTTCAGTTCGGGTTCGCTCAACTCTAGTAATATCCTCTAGATTGTAAGCTCATTTGAGCAGGGTCTTCATTAACCTACCTCTGTTTAATATTATTGGATAAAAATGTGATTTTTTTAAATATTAAAATATTTTAAAAAATATATTTATCAAATATACATATATACAAATACATAAACAAAATATTTTAAAAAATGCAAAAAACTAAATATTTATTAATATGCATGAAATGTTCAAGAAAGACAAAAAAGTCTAGCATCAATGGAGAGGAACCTTGCAGAGAATATACGGCTACATATGTCTAATGAATCAATGCCCTGTTCATTCAAGAAAATTTGAAAAAAAAGGTTTACGATACTAGAGACCTGTGAGCTGCATCTCATCCACTTTGGGGAAAAATGATGATCACTGGTGTCAGAAAGGCACTGGAACGAATATGCCAATTGGCATGCAAGTAAAAAAATGCCCTGTGTTGTGCCTTTAATTTTTAAATTTCTCGCAGATCTTTTTGATATTTTTTCAATTAAATTAGTTCTATATGGAGCAATAGATGTCGTCTAGGTAAATGTTTTTTACAGACCTTTTTCCTTTCTTTGTTCAGTGCATACCAGCACATTTGACTTGTTTTAAGAATTTTAATCTGAAATCAGGGCAATGCTTACTATTATGAAGGAAAATGCCTGCAGCTTTTTTAATAATCTTTCTAAAAAGCTGACTTGTACTCATGCCCACGGTAAAGTATTTATGATCTACTGGAGCAAGATTTTTCCCTGCTAATATTCCTCCTGCTGAGATTCTGAATAAAACACTTTATCAAAGCTCAAGGTAAGGTATAAAATGATAGCAACACAAAAGACTGAATTTCTTTAGAGCAAGCATGTCAAACTCAAAGGCTAGCCCGGCCAATAAACAAGGTTTAAGTTTATGTGGGCCGCAAAAATACTATTTTTATAGAAATGTAGGTTTATTTTGAAAAGTACAGTAGTAAAAAAAAAAAACAGCATCCCCCTCTACTAAACCCTAACCCCCCTCTACTAAACTCTAGCCCACCTATACTAAATCCTACTTCCCCCTTCTACTAAACCCCAGTCATTATGAATGTGTGTATGTATGGATGTCAGTGTCTGTATGAATGTATGTCATTATGAATGTCGGTCTGTCTGTATGTATATGTATACCTGTATGCATGTCTGTCTGTATGTATGTCTGTATGTCTGTCTGTCTGTCTGTATGTATGTATGTCATTATGTGTGTATGAATGTCAGTGTAAGTATGTCTGCATGTCATTATGAATGTGTGTATGTATGGATGTCAGTGTCTGTATGTCATTATGAATGTATGTCTGTATGTATGTCTGTATGCATGTCTGTCTGTATGTATGTCTGTCTGTCTGCCAGTCTGTATGTATGTATGTATGTATGTCATTATGTGTGTATGAATGTCAGTGTATGTATGTCTGCATGTCATTATGAATGTGTGTATGTATGGATGTCAGTGTCTGTATGAATGTATGTCTGTATGTCATTATGAATGTCTGTCTGTATGTATGTATGTATGTCTGCATGTATATGTATGTCTGTCTGTATGTATGTCTATGTATGTCTGTATGCATGTATGTATGTATGCATGGCTGCATGTCTGTATCTATGTCTGTCTGTAGGTATGCATGTATGTATGTATGCATGTCTGCATGTATGCATGTATGTCTGTATGCATGTATGTATGTCTGTCTGTCTGTATGCTTGTCTGTATGTATGTATGTCTGCATGTCATTATGAATGTGTGTATGTATGGATGTCAGTGTCTGTGTGCATGTCTGTCTGTATGTATGTCTGTATGCATGTATGTATGTCTGTCTGTCTGTATGCCTGTCTGTATGTATGTATGTATGTATGTCATTGTGTGTGTATGAATGTCAGTGTATGTATGTCTGCATGTCATTATGAATGTGTGTGTGTATGTATGGATGTCAGTGTCTGTATGACTGTATGTCTGTATGTCATTATGTATGTATGTCATTATGTGTGTATGAATGTCAGTGTATGTATGTCTGCATGTCATTATGAATGTGTGTATGTATGGATGTCAGTGTCTGTATGAATGTATGTCTGTATGTCATTATGAATGTCTGTCTGTATGTATGTATGTATGTATGTATGTATGTCTGCATGTATATGTATGTCTGTCTGTATGTATGCATGGCTGCATGTCTGTATCTATGTCTGTCTGTCTGTATGTATGTATGCATGTATGTATGTATGCATGGCTGCATGTCTGTATCTATGTCTGTCTCTCTGTCTGTATGTATGCATGCATGTCTGCATGTATGTACGTCTGTATGCATGTATGTATGTCTGTCTGTATGTATGCTTGTCTGTATGTATGTATGTCTGCATGTCATTATGAGTGTCTGTCTGTATGTATGTCTGTATGCATGTATGTATATCTGTCTGTCTGTATGCCTGTCTGTATGTATGTATGTATGTATGTATGACATTATGTGTGTATGAATGTCAGTGTAGGTATGTCTGCATGTCATTATGAATGTGTGTATGTATGGATGTCAGTGTCTGTATGCATGTATGTCTGTCTGTATGAATGTATGTCTGTCTGTATGAATGTATGTCTGTATGTCATTATGAATGTATGTCTGTGTATGTATGTGTGTATAGATGTCAGTGTCTGTATGCCAGTATGAATGTCTGTCTGTATGTCATTATGAATGTGTCTGTGTCTGTATTGTCTTATGCATGTGTGTATGTATGCAGGGCCGGACTGGGAGAAAAATTCGGCAGAGGAGGTGTGTTTTGTCACCAATGACAGACACGCCTCCTCTCAAAGTGAGCATGTTGGTTCAATGCTCTTCCAGGGCAGACCATGCGCAGAGCTCTGCTGAAGAGCTCTAGCATGAGAAAAAAGTCCTGTATTTGTTTTGCACAGTGCAAGCAAATTTAATAACATGCTTGCACTGTGTTTCCTTGCAACTTGTCTCTGGTGTCTATAAATGGATACCAGGAGACAAAAGGCCAGGAAAGAGTATTGTGCATGTGTTTGGAGCCTGCTTGTGGTATTGCGTGTGTGTAGAGTGAACTGGTCGTGGTGTGGTATTGTGTAATAAGGTCAGTTTTAGTCGTGTTGTGTTTGTGGTGTAATGTGATGCACATGTGGCTATGGGCTGTAGAGAATGTGTGTATTGGGGATATAGCAAGTGTGTGCATACAGGCTATAGTGTGTGTGTGTGTGTTTAGGGGTGTAGAATGTGTTTGCTTACAAGGAATCTAGTGTGTGTATAGGGGATCCAGAGTGTGTATGTTAAAGGACCACTATAGTGCCAGGAAAACACTTGTTTTCCTGGCACTATAGTGCCCTGAGGGTGCCCCCACCCTCAGGGACCCCCTCCCGCTGGCTCTGGAAAGGGGTTAAAACTTACCTTTTTCCAGCGCCGGGCGGGGAGCTCTCCTCCTCCGATCCGCCCCGTCGGCTGAATGCGCACGCGCGGCAAGAGCTGCGCGCGCATTCAGCCGGTCGCATAGGAAAGCATTTATAATGCTTTCCTATGGACGCTTGCGTGCTCTCACTGTGATTTTCACAGTGAAAAGCACGCAAGCACCTCTAGCGGCTGTCAATGAGACAGCTGCTAGAGGCTTTGGGGGAAGGCTTAACCCATTGATAAACATAGCAGTTTCTCTGAAACTGCTATGTTTATAAAACAATGGGTTAACCCTAGAAGGACCTGGCACCAAGACCACTTCATTAAGCTGAAGTGGTCTGGGTGGCTAGAGTGGTCCTTTAAGAGTGTAGTGTGTGCGTGTATACACATATATATATATATTTGGAAGTATTGTGTATGTTTGTGGTGCAGTGTGTTGGGGGGGTTCTGTGTGTATGTGAGGGGTGCAGTATGTGTGTGTGAGAGTGCGGTGTGTGATGGGTGTGAGAGTGCCGTGTGTGAGTGATGGGTGTGAGAGTGCCGTGTGTGAGTGAAGGGTGTGAGAATGCTGTGTGTGAGTGATGGATGGGAGAATGCCGTGTGTGAGTGATGGGTGTGAGAATGCTGTGTGTGAGTGAAGGGTGTGAGAATGCTGTGTGTGAGTGATGGATGAGAGAATGCCGTGTGTGAGTGATGGGTGTGAGAATGCTGTGTGTGAGTGATGGATGTGAGTGTGCTGTGTGAGATGGGCATGTGAGATGGGTGTGAGAGTGCTGTGTGTGTGTGAGTGCTCTGTGAGAGTGATGGGTGTGAGAGTGCTGTGAGAGAATGCTGTGTGTGATGGGTGTGAGAGTGATGGGTGTGAGAGTGCTGTGTGTGATGGGTGTGAGAGTGCTGTGAGAGTGTTGTGTGAGTGCTCTGTGAGAGTGCTGTGAGTGTGATGGGTGTGAGAGAGTGCTGTGTGTGTTAAAGTGCTGTGTGTGATGGGTGTGAGAGTGCTGTGTGAGAGAGAGTGCTGTGTGTGTGTGAGAGTGCTGTGTGTGATGGGTGTGAGAGTGCTGTGTGTGTGAGTGCTGTGTGTGATGGGTGTGAGAGAGTGCTGTGTGTGATGGGTGTGAGAGTGCTGTATAAATGTTATTGTGTGTATGTAGGGGGGGTAAATAATAAAAAAAAAACAGGTATTATTCCCCCCCCTCCCTTCTTACCTTTAGCCTGGGAGGGGGGGACCGGCACGCTGGGACTGGAGGCGGGGAGGCAGTGTTCCCTGGTGGTCCTCGTGGGTGAGTGAACTCCTCGCGAGATCCGGTCGTTGCCATGGCAACGCGCCGGATCTCGCGAGAGGATCCCGGCGGAGCCGCAAATTAGAGCTCCGCCGGGTCCTCTCTCCAGCCTGGCTGGCTGTCTCCCTCCCTCCCTCCCCGCCGGCGGCCGCATGTGGGCCGGTGAGGGAGATCTTTGATCTCCCCACCGGCCCGTCGTGGCAAACAGCGGGGCCGGCGCTAGGAGAGTGCCGGCCCTGCATAGACCGGCAGGGGAGATCCTGGGACCTCCCCTGCCGGCCTCGGCCCCACGGACACCGCGGCCCACCGGGCATTTGCCCGCTGTGCCCGATGGCCAGTCCGGGCCTGTATGTATGTATGTATGTTAGTATGTGTCTGTCTGTCACTATGTACGCCTGTGTGTCTGTATATTTGGAGGCGGTCCCTGTGGGCAATTTTGGAGGCCCTGCAGACAGACACAAACACACTGACAGACACACACACACTCACTGACAGACACACACTTACTGACAGACACACACACATTTACACATTCTTGCACACACTCATGTACATTTATTAAGGAAAAATAAGTTGTTCCCCACTAATATAATACTTACTATCCTGAGAATATGCACACTTTTACTTGTGTAGCACCTGGCTGAGAGTAATATGAGTCTGCTGCGAAACTATGGGGGACTGCCATGAGTGTTGCCACCTCCATCAAAGTAGTAGCCACAGAGACTTGCTCTGCTGTCTTAGGCAGCCACAGGCCCAGCCATGCCTTTCTGGAAATGGCTGAATGCAGTAGGGAAAGCAGGAAGCAGTACCTGCTTCCTAACCACTAGACACCAGGGAATGTGCTCCAGTCTCTCCTCCTCCTTTGCCACCAGTGTCCCTAAAGGTAGGACGCAGGAGGCAGATTTGGTGACTGTGTGTGACTCTCTGTATGACTCTCTGTGTGACTGTGTGTGTGCCTGTAACTGTGTATGTGTTTTTGTGTTACTGTGTCTGTGGTGAGTGTGTGCATGTGCATGTGTGCGTGTGTGCGTGTGTGTGTGGGGGGGGGGGCGGGGGTCCTTTAAGAGCCTGACCGGGCCCCTGCAGTATCTCTGCCTGCTGGGAGGAAGTGATATGTGTCACTTCCTCCTAGCTAAAAAGACAGCCACATGGGTAGGAGTAGGAGGATAGCAGCAGCAAGTAGAGGCTGGAGTGAGCAGCCTCAGCCCAGACCCCAAAAGGTAAGCTAAAAGGTGGCTGCTGTGTATGTCAGATTATGTGTGTATATCTGTGTGTCAGTGTGTATCTGTATATATGCGCCAGTGTGTGGATCTGTGTGTCAGTCTGTATGTGCCAGTGTGTTTATCTGTGTGTCAAGAAAAAGGAAACTCAAAAGGCTGGACAGTGGGAGGGGAGGAAAAGACACTCCCGTATCCCACTGCCGAGCCTCCAGAGTATAGAGGTCACCTGGACTGGTTAAAGGGGGTAACCCTGGAAATTGTAGAAAAAAGGAAGAAAAAAACCCAAAAAGGGATGTCTTATATAAAGACCGCCCAGAGGGTAAATACCCAGTCCAATCTCAACAGTAGTGTAGTTGCCAAAAAATAAAAAAGCCTTTATTGAAATCTATTAAAAACCTGGGTAATCAGTGATGGACAGAATAATATAGAGAGAAATATGTATGGTAGGAACAAGGCTAATCAAGAGCCAACCCTCACAAGAAACGGAGAGGGGATAGAAGGCAATATGTACCCCCATACATAACTCAGGTAACAAAGCAGTAGGAAAGAACAGGGAAAGGGAGAAACACACACTCCCAACCAAACAGTAGTGCTATGCTAATACCCTATCTCCTATAAAACACCTTCGTGGGTGTTCTAATCTAAATGCTGTCATAACATCTGAAGCCCCAGGTTACACACACATACTAGAAAAAGATAAATGAAAAGGTGCTCAGAGCAAAGTGCTCAAGAGAGTATTTAAAAACACAGAAGAACCCGACGTACGTTTCGGCGTGACCACACGCCGTCCTCAGGGGTATCAGCAGTGAGCAAAAAGACTGTCCGGGTGGTAAATTTATACCTTAAGCTCATAAGCTTTATTGTAATCACCTGTGATTGTGTCTAAATTGCTCCGGTCCTCCTGCGAATGGGGCTGTGGGGGTGTGGTATAACACACCATAGTGTCAGCCCACATTTCTATGTCAGAGGTAGCCAGAACAGAAATCAGGTGAAAGGGAATTAACCCTTTAAGTGCCCCGCCCGGAACAGATATAAATGGATACTTACTATATCTAAAAGGCAGTATCCATAGCTTAACAGTTAACCCTTGGAATGTCCAAATTGTATCATATAGGTCAAGTGTGTGGATTGATTCTTATGGCTGTATTGTGTAGCTTTAGTACAATTAAAGAAACAACTTATAACCGTTGTGAACCAGTAAGGGATAAGTACAATGGCTATATGGGCAGTCATACACAGAAGCCGACAATTCTTTTATTGCCACTGTAAATAGTAACCCATTAGTTTATGCAACACAAAACAGACCCCTAAACTCTTAGACCTATAATACAGGTAAAATTAATGGACATATGAACATCAAATATAATAGAAATAAATGAAGAATATATACATATATACAGGCATAACTTAAGATACCATTTATTATCAGAATTATTGCAGTACTTTAAATAAACGGGGAATATGAAAACCCTTCATTTAGCCCCAGGGGAGATAGCGTTTTGAGATTTTTTGAAAGACATTCAGCATAGTGTCCCATCCTGCATCGTATGTACCTATGCAGCGTATTTTATTTTCCTCAGTCTTACGACCCCCATCTATAATTAGGGTTTCCCGTTCAGTGTGGATTGCCCTCAGATAGGCTCTTTTTAGAACCCTATTTGGGTAACCTTTGGCCTTAAACATGTGACGCAGCTCATTTGCTTTTAATTTGAACTCCTCCATCGTGGAGCAGTTTCGTCGAAGTTTCAAATATTAGCCTATTGGGATACCGGATTTGAGTGATATGGGGTGATGACTAGACCAGCATAGCAGGTTATTTGAGGCTGTCTTCTTTCTGTACAAGGTTGTTTCAATTTTGCCTTCTTTAGATACCTGTAGTGCTAGATCTAGAAAGCAAAGGTTTTGACCCCCTACTTCACTAGTGAATCGTAAGTTAAAATCGTTGCTGTTCAGCAGAGATACAAATTCTTTGAATCTCTCTGATGTATCAAGCCAAATCAAAAACACATCATCGATGTATCTTTTCCAATAGAAGATCTGATTAGTGTATGATTTCAGCTTAGGATCTGCCCTAATACACCTTTCCCACCAGCTTAGATGGAGATTGGCATATGAGGGCGCACAAGACGTCCCCATAGCTGTACCAGTGGTCTGGTGGAAGATTTTGCCATTGAACAGAAAGATATTACGAGTCAAAATGAATTCAAGTAATTCCATCACAAAATTCACATAATGTTCAGGTAGGTCAGTTTCAAGATTTAATAGTTGACGGGTATGTTTAATACCTAGGTTATGAGGAATTGAGCTGTAAAGGGCCTCCACGTCAAGGCTACACAGGATAGCGTTTGGAGGTAAAGTAAGGTTGGTCAATAAATGCAACATTTGTTTAGTATCTCTAAGGAAAGATGGTAGCTTCTGTACTACTGGGGACAGAATTTTATCCACATAAATGCTTACATTCTGAGTTAGATTATCACAACCAGAAACTATCGGCCTACCGGTCGGATCGGTTAGTGATTTGTGCACTTTAGGCAAACAATAAAAAGTAGATAGACATGGTTGTTTGGTGCACATAAATTCAAACTCATCCTGATTAATGAGTTGATGATTCACAGCCTTAGTAAGCATAGTTTTTAACTCAGCTTGGAACGCTTTTGTAGGATCTTTTGCTAGTATGCGGTAAGTATTTTTATCGGATAAAAGTCTTTCAGCTATACGAATGTAGTGGTCTCAGTCAAGTATCACCACATTGCCCCCTTTATCAGAGGGTTTGAAAATCAAATTTGTATAGCTCTGTAGTTTTTTCAGGGCTATTAGTTCCTGAGTATTAAGGTTGCCATTAGGGGATAGATAAAAATCATCCATTTTTGTCTTATCTATTTCCCTAGTAACCATTTCCAAAAATACCTCCAAATTTTTATAGTCCTGAAAATGAGGGGTAAACTTACTCTTGGGTTTCAAATTAGTATGTGGTATATCAGATTGTATAGTACCATCTCCAGAGTTAAGTAATTCCACCAGAGTGTCTAAGCACTCCAAGTCATTTGGTAATATACCCAAGCTTTGGGCCTTAGTTTCTTTACGTACTGCATGGTATTTATACAAGGCAAGCTTTCTCACAAAAAGGTTTACATCCTTAGTCCAGTTGAACTTGCTGAATGTTGGAATGGGTACGAATGAAAGACCCTTCTCCAATACGCTAAGTTCGCTCTGACCAAGGATGGTATCAGAGAGATTAATAATACGCAGAGAGGATGCTATCATTCCCTGCGTCGTCTCTGACTTCTGCCCCTGTATCTGGTGTGCGGACCCTGAGTTAGATCCGCTTGTCTTTTTTTTTTTTTTTTATCTCCAAAAATTTTATATTTATTTTTTAAATCTTTTGCGAAAAATATTGCAACTCCACCCCTTTTCCTCCCTCCCTAGAGGAACAAACTTTTAAAGGAAAAGAACTACTGGTCCTCTTTTCATCCTGTTTGCAATGTGTCTCTTGGACCATATGATTTGAACCTGTTCTTTTTAAGTAATCTTGAAAAGCTAGTCTTTTTTGAGGGATATTTAAACCCTGAATATTTATGGTGATTAATTTAACCATTGTCATATAATGTCATTTTTTTTTTCCTCTTTTCCTCTTCTCTCCTCCTTCTCTTTCTCCCCCTTTCTCTCTTTAAACCGTCTAGTGAACTCCGGAAAAAAAAAAAAACTGGACCCATTACAAAACATACATAAAACAGCCTCAAGTACAAACACTTGAGGTCTATTTCCTAACATTCCTCGACTCTAAAAGAGTCAAAAACACTTCCCTTGGTGGGTATTAATACCCTTTAACCTTTTCAGGTTCCGGCAGGAGGTTGCATCCGTTTTGAAGGAGCCAAAACTATATTTTATTTAACATTTCTATTTCAACATTCTCTTATACTGTATAACTATTTTTCTTCTTTCTTCCTTCCTCCTCCCTCTCTGATCGAAGAAGAGAGGAAAACAGAAGGGGAGAAAAAAAACACACCTTACTTATTAATACCTTTCCGTTATTACACTCTTATTCTTTCCTCTTTCCCTTTTTTCCTCTGCCCTTACTCCCTCTTTTACTACATACATTATCAAATCTTTATTCTTGCCTATTAGGTATGACACACTTTCTTTTCCCTTTTTTTTCCCTTTTTTCTTACTTTTTCTTTCACACCTCTAAATTTCAACTCTTTTATGTTTAACCTTTTAAATTTCTTTTGTGAGTCCTTACAATTACTAATTTCTTAAAATCTTATTTCTTGTGAGTAACTAGCCTGAAATTTATTGTGGTTCTAAATTTAACCCTTTCTCCTCAGTTTAATGTATCATACATAGTTTTCAATATTATCTTTTACAAATTCATTTTGTGTAAATTACATGCTAACATATATGTGTTTTCTTGTAACTTAAAAGTGCTTATCTCTATTTATTTATTCTCCATTATATTCATTTATTCTCTGTGTCTTCAAAAAAAAATATTTTCTTCCTCTCATCCCCTCTTTTCCTCCTCATCTGATTATGTGAGATCATTTCTCTTTCTTCTTTATCCATTGTTCTATCTGAGATGCGGTCGTAAATATCTCAGCGTATTCCTTCTGTGATTATCATTAATTTACAGGGATAAATCCAAGAGTATTTTTATGTTTAATCTTCTTAATGAAGCCGTAGCCGTCGAGAAATTTTTCTTTGTTGTCTAGTGTAAAAGGACAAATCTTGAAATATCTTGATATCACCAAACTTTTCTGTATTATACTGTTTTGTTCTGACTGCATTCATTATAGCTTCTTTAAATTGATCGACTGAAAGTTTATTATTATGTCTCTCGCCAATTTGTTGAGGAACCAACTTGGTTTATTTATACGATGATATTGCTCCATTTTAGTGTTTTAAAGTTGATGTTAATATTAAGTGTTGCCCATAGGGTATCAAGGGAAGTCGGGTATTTTATCTTGTGTGACTGTCTCTGGAGCGTTTTTGTCGCAGATTATTTCTTCTGCGATCCTCAGATCTCTAATTTTCCTTCTATTTGTCTCAATTGGAGTATTCAGCTGCTCATTTTGTTCTTTATATACTCTGCTCTCATATTCCAAAGCTGTGATTTTTTCTTCGTTTTGTTTTAATTTTTCTAGTATTTCTTGCAGTTTGTTTTTTGTTTCTGCTGTATTTTTATTAAGTTCAGCATTGCCCCAGTTGCTCTTCTAAACAATTTTTAAAAGTCTGTTGTAATATAATTTTCTATTTGGCTGGATGTGATTGACTAGATGGACTTTGAATGAAATCTTAAGCTTTTTGAAGAATATACACTTGAACTATCTTGATTTTTTCCTTTATTAGATTTTTGTCCAGGTGAAAAACTTGAAGGATTTCTTTCTATTTGTTGATCCTGTTTAACTGCTTTCTTAGTAGCTGCTTTCGATGATTTAGTTGCCATAATTTTTTTTTTTTTTTCCTTTTTTTCTCTTCTTTTACTTTTTACTTAATTTCTCTTCCCCTTCTTTTCCTTTTCTTCCTCTCCTTTCTCCCTTCTCCTTTTTTTTCTCCTTTTACCCTTTAATTAGGGTTTTTTTTATATTTGATATGTGTTTATTTTATTTTTTTTCCCTTTTTTCCTTTTTCTTAGTTTTTTATTTACAGTTTTATCTTTACTTTCTCAGTCCTTTCACGTTCTTTTCACAGCATTGAGCGTAATCTAAAGAGCTAATATAGACAAAAACCAAGGAAGTACTTAGCTTGTCTTCATTTCTCTTTGCATCAAATGCTCACTTCACACAGCACTTCCTTTTGACTATTTTATTTCTCATATGAACAGATAAAGGCAAATTTACATCATACAGATTTCGACTGATTGTCATTTCAGAATCTTTTAACACAGTCTTTTCACAGCTTTTCACAGCATAAGCAGTAAGTAGGGAGCAAAAGAAAAGGGAGTACTTAGCTTATCTTTAAATCTCTTTTCTCTTTACGTTCTCTTTACATCCATTGCTCCTTTTCACACAGCTTCACACAGCTTCTTTTTGATTATTCCGTGTGAACAACTATGAACAACTATGAGCAGGTACATACATCTTATAGGGTTTCAGCTAGTTGTCGGCATCTGCATCTGCATCAGTGGTATTAGCGGTATCAACGGTATCAGCGGTATCAAAGACATCAAATGTTAGCCGCTCTCAGACTTGCTATAATGCCGGGTTTCTTTAACGCCGTTCAAGCTTCAATCTTGCCTCATGCGATCTAAAAGAACGCCGTTCCTCCTCCATTACCGGGTCAACCTCCCCGCCTCCGGATGCGTGCGTACCTCCGCCCACCTCTACGTCATCACGCAAACTCCTGATCCGCTTGTCTTAATCCTAAAAAATCCACCCCCTTTTTTAGAATACTTTTAGTTGGATTCCTAGGAGTAGGGGTTTGAGGTTTTTCAGTTTCAGTATCGGTTGATTCGTACTCAGATGTACTGAATTGGTCAGAGTCTACTTTAGATCTCTTTTTAAAAGAACGGTAAATTCTACCTTGTTCAAAGTCCTTTGTATCTCTCATATACTTCTGGTGTTTTCTCACTTTTATAATGTGAGAGAATTTGTCCAGATTGGATTTGAGTTTTATCTCTAGTGATTCAAATTGTGGTTCTACTTTAAAACCCTGGACCACCTCAATCTCTTTATCCAGTTCTAGTTGGACATTGGATAGTTTAATAGACTCATATTTACAAATAATACTCATGAACGTATTTGAACATTTAGTAGCTGCCTCATCCCATTCTTTATAGAAGTCTTCCATCTCGACTTGTCTTGATGGAGAGGTCTGAACTCTTAGCCCGCTAGGGATGATATTTTTAGAGATGTATTTCTCGAGAGTGGAGACTTCCCAGCTTATCTTAATTTGTTGTTTAAAGAGTTTAGTAAGCTTATTAAAGCTGGTGTGAATATTAGGGGGAGACAGTGTATCTAGTGTACTTTCAGTACTGAACACAGAATCAGCGTCCGCACACCATGTACTTGCGCTGGGTTTTTTAGACAGAAAGCCTGCCATTGTAGTTTGGAAAAAAGGTTATAAAAACTGATAATAGTAATGGTGGTGACCACACGGTGAGTAACACCAATATAATTAAATAACAAGAAAAAGGAAACTCAAAAGGCTGGAAAGTGGGAGGGGAGGAAAAGACACTCCCGTATCCCACTGCCGAGCCTCCAGAGTATAGAGGTCACCTGGACTGGTAAAAGGGGGTAACCCTGGAAATTGTAGAAAAAAGGAAGAAAAAAACCCAAAAAGGGATGTCTTATATAAAGACCGCCCAGAGGGTAAATACCCAGTCCAATCTCAACAGTAGTGTAGTTGCCAAAAAATAAAAAAGCCTTTATTGAAATCTATTAAAAAACCTGGGTAATCAGTGATGGACAGAATAATATAGAGAGAAATATGTATGGTAGGAACAAGGCTAATCAAGAGCCAACCCTCACAAGAAACGGAGAGGGGATAGAAGGCAATATGTACCCCCATACATAACTCAGGTAACAAAGCAGTAGGAAAGAACAGGGAAAGGGAGAAACACACACTCCCAACCAAACAGTAGTGCTATGCTAATACCCTATCTCCTATAAAACACCTTCGTGGGTGTTCTAATCTAAATGCTGTCATAACATCTGAAGCCCCAGGTTACACACACATACTAGAAAAACATAAATGAAAAGGTGCTCAGAGCAAAGTGCTCAAGAGAGTATTTAAAAACACAGAAGAACCCGACGTACGTTTCGGCGTGACCACACGCCGTCCTCAGGGGTATCAGCAGTGAGCAAAAAGACTGTCCGGGTGGTAAATTTATACCTTAAGCTCATAAGCTTTATTGTAATCACCTGTGATTGTGTCTAAATTGCTCCGGTCCTCCTGCGAATGGGGCTGTGGGGGTGTGGTATAACACACCATAGTGTCAGCCCACATTTCTATGTCAGAGGTAGCCAGAACAGAAATCAGGTGAAAGGGAATTAACCCTTTAAGTGCCCCGCCCGGAACAGATATAAATGGATACTTACTATATCTAAAAGGCAGTATCCATAGCTTAACAGTTAACCCTTGGAATGTCCAAATTGTATCATATAGGTCAAGTGTGTGGATTGATTCTTATGGCTGTATTGTGTAGCTTTAGTACAATTAAAGAAACAACTTATAACCGTTGTGAACCAGTAAGGGATAAGTACAATGGCTATATGGGCAGTCATACACAGAAGCCGACAATTCTTTTATTGCCACTGTAAATAGTAACCCATTAGTTTATGCAACACAAAACAGACCCCTAAACTCTTAGACCTATAATACAGGTAAAATTAATGGACATATGAACACCAAATATAATAGAAATAAATGAAGAATATATACATATATACAGGCATAACTTAAGATACCATTTATTATCAGAATTATTGCAGTACTTTAAATAAACGGGGAATATGAAAACCCTTCATTTAGCCCCAGGGGAGATAGCGTTTTGAGATGGTAAATCCAAAACGCCTCTCTTTGTCTTAGTTTTAGGTCCCAGTTTCCTTTCCTAGGAGGCTGTGGTACATGTTCAAGACCCATGAACCGGATGCCTGCCGAGGAGTGATTGTGATGTAGATGTAAATGCCTTGAGACGGGTGTTTCCAAACGTCTCTTGACAGAATTTACATGTTCACGTATCCTTAGCCTGAAGTGGCGAAAAGTCTTGCCTACATATTTTAGGCCACAGGAGCAAGACAGTAGGTAAACTACTCCTGTTGTGTTACAATTAAAGAAGGAACGTGGTTTGAAATTCATTAAGCCCTTGCTGTCAGAGGCCCTCTTGGTAATAAACGGGCATGCACTGCAGTGACCACATTGGAAAGAACCCATTGGTAGGTATTTTTGAAAATAACCTGACGGGGACGTAGTTGAGAGGTGACTAGGTGCTAGGATATCTCTCAAGTTTTTGCCCCTCCGTGCTGTAATTGAAGGGAGTGATGGCAGAATTTCCTTCAGATGCTTATCTGATTGGAGGATAGGCCAGAATTTTTGAAAGACATTCAGCATAGTGTCCCATCCTGCATCGTATGTACCTATGCAGCGTATTTTATTTTCCTCAGTCTTACGACCCCCATCTGTAATTAGGGTTTCCCGTTCAGTGTGGATTGCCCTCAGATAGGCTCTTTTTAGAACCCTATTTGGGTAACCTTTGGCCTTAAACATGTGACGCAGCTCATTTGCTTTTAATTTGAACTCCTCCATCGTGGAGCAGTTTCGTCGAAGTCTCAAATATTGGCCTATTGGGATACCGGATTTGAGTGATATGGGGTGATGACTAGACCAGCATAGCAGGTTATCTGTGTGTCAGTGTGTATCCATCTGTGTGTATGTGCCAGTGTGTGTATCTGTGTGCCAGTGTGTGTATCTGTGTTTATGTGCCAGTATGGGCATCTCTTTGTCAGTGTTTATCTGTGTGTATGTGCCAGTGTGGGCATCTGTGTGTGTATGTGACAGTGCATGTATCTGTGTGTCAAGTTGTCAGTGTGTGCATTTGTGTGTCAAGGTGATGGGAATGTATCTGTTTGTTAATAGTGTGTGTAAATAGTTGTAATATGTTGTGTGTGACTGTGTGTGGGGTCCCGCGTGGAGGGGGCGCGCATGGGGAGATGGGTGCAGCCACCTCCCTGAAATAAGGTTTTGCATGTTGGGATGTCTAACATACGTACAAACACAATGCTACAAAGCAACTTCAACACCCATAAATTTCAAAAGCTCAATACAGCAACATACACTGCTTGAATGGAAAAAAAAAACAGGACTGGCACATCAAGGGACTTCAAGATCTTGTTTTGGCCCAGAACTACTAAAAGGTTGCTTACCCCTGTTCTAATCAGTAGCTTCCCTATTCATATAACGGCTTAAGAAAAATATATACGTTTCTCAAGCCATGGGAGTCTGAGGCTTCCTGTTTCAAGAATCTGAGAGCACCGTAGGGACAGGGGCAAAGCTAAGTGCCTCTGGAGAAAAAACTTTGGGGTTAAATTGTTCTGGAACAAATTAACTCCTAAAGGTAGTCGGGCACCTCATACCTCCTGGCACAATAACAAGCTCATTCCGTTGAAGCTGTTACGGTGCCCGGGGTTCCCTTTAATCTTAAAATAAAGCATATTTTTTATGGCTTCAGGTGATATTAATGTAACACATACCTTCTCTGAAGCACTGATTAGTGTAAAGGTCTATTCTCCCCACTCCTGCCTACCTTCTTCCACTTTAACTCTTGATTTACCTTCCTTCACTAGTAGAATCTGTATTCCTGGCACTATAGCTCCCTCTGCCTCCCCCCTGCCCCCCGCTTGGGTAAATAAAGGGTTAAAAAACATTTATTTACTTACCTTATCCCAGTGCCGATGACCCTCGCCACTGGGTCGACATTCTGCCCCCTATGACAGCCTATGGGGAAAAACCTGACACTGGATGTCCTCATGCAGAGCGTGAGGATGTCCAGCATCAGATACTAAGGTCTGTTACGATTCAGGAAGCCCTCTAGTGGCTGTCTAGTAGAAAGCCACTGTGTGCAGACTTAGAACTGCAATGTGAACTTGAGTGCAAAAGGGACACAGCACCCACACCACTTCAAAGAACTGAATTGGTCTGGGTGCCTACAGTTTCCGTTTAAAGTTGATTACTGCGGTAGATGCCTTATGAAACAAATTTGCTGATTCGAAGTACCATTTGGTGGTAAAAATGTCCTACTTTCCCAAGCTGAACAAAGCCTCAGACTCCCATGAGACACCACATGTCAAAACAGAGAGGAATTTGGACCATTCTAAACCAAATGATACAGAGTTGGGCTGCAGTTGTCCAGACCTCTATTGGGGCGTTGTTTTATGTAGTGAGCTCATAATCTGTTAATTTTTCATGTTGGAATCACATTGACTAGGATACGGTTATGAAATCATGGTTCCTGCTGGACACCAAGGAATCTACTCACACAATCACACATGCACACACAACTGCAGAAGAGGACTCCCACATACGCAAATAATACAAACTGCCCAAACACAAAGACACAAAGCCCCCACAAACACTACTGACAAACCACATACACACACAGAACCCCACAAACAGCCTCACACACGCAATACAGACAGTCCGCATAGACACACAATAGCACATGCACAATATGACCTCACTTACACACACAATCCCACAATCCGTCCCTCATACACAGCAAACATTCACACACATAACATGATACACAACCCCTATTCATACATAACACACACAATAACACAAACTGCTCATGCACATACACAATGTGACACAACCCGCATATGCACAAATACAGCAATACAAAGCAGCC